TCCACAAATGAAGTTGAATCGCTACTCGTCTCAAATCTGGTCGTCTATAATATTAACACTTTCTGTACATATTGGCCATCAACTAATTTTCGAATGAAGCCCATCGAGATGAAATCAACATCTTAATACCAGGCCCCCTGCTTTCAGAGTAATGTGCTGCCTCAAGCGTTGTATCTCAACCCTTTTGCGTCAACGATCAACGAACACAGTAAGCAATAGAGCAAAATATTGTGAAACCTCTTTAAATCAGTCTCACAAATCTCAAATCAGTCCCAAATGAAAGAAGTGTGGCTACAGTTGGTAAATGTAATAGTAATTATTTACATTTTATTCGTATTTATGTTTAGTCTTTGTGCTTATTATCTATTATTTATTATTATCTATTATAATGTCTTATCAAACAGACAGAAATCAACAATCGATTAGCAGTCATATCTTGCCAGTGTCGAAAATCATCGCTCCTGGGTAGAATGATGGGTTTAGCGGGTAGCGCCTTTGCCTTTGGGTGTGCACATTGTAGTATATATAATATACATAAAAAGAAAGTATGCTTTTCCATTCCTCTGTATATATGTGTGCTTACGCAGCAAAAAAATATATAGGCGATGAATATTACAATACCCAGTTTCGCCACAAATAAGGTAGACAGAACAAACAGAGAAAAATTCGCCGCGGAACATGCCTCTGAATTAGGGCTTGCTAGTTAATAAGCTTAAAACACACAGTCTAAGTGATAAAGAAAGAGCATGAATAATAAATTGTGACTTTTCACAATACAACAGCCACTCTAGTGGGTACTTTTGCTGGTGAAACCTGGAATTTATTCTGTCATTAGAGAGTCATCAACAAAAATGCGCTATTTTACAGTGAAGAATAAGCATCCAATAACCTAGTTTCAGTACTGAATAATTTTAATTGACTTGAGGACCAGGTGATACCTTTCATAACTTTGAGGAGCCGGCCTGCATTTCTAAGAAAGATGGGGATACACTACTTTTATTGAGTGAAATGAATTAGAAACATCAATAAGCTCTGAAACAGATGTCGTTTTTACAATACCCCGTTTTGTCATTTTCAATTAGGCATCGCTAAGGCCTGCATGCATGCATGCCTGCATATATATGGGGAGAGATAGAGAAAAAAAGAGAAAACATACTGACAAATATGGGAAGAAAAAAAAAGATTAAATTACCCTGACAGAATATTTGAGTGCTTCAAATCGGCGAACGAGACTGTTAGCTTCGTCTGGATCCCCATTGGTATATTTAATGGTCTCCAAGGTGGCAGTAACATCCTCGCTTTGGTCTCCGAGAGATGACAAGAAGTTCTGGAGGCAAAGGAAAGATATCGCTTTATAAGCCGACATGAGGCAGCTAAGCATAGATTAAACTATTTGGAAGAATGCATCTAAATAATTTAATTGCGGCAAAAGTAGCAGAACAAGTCTTAATCCATACCGTCCATGCAATTGCAGCAACTATTATTCAAAAGGGATCAGAAAGGAGATAAGAGAGCATTCTTGAAGTATAGCTCAAAACTCACCTACAGTCTACACTAGAGAGACAAAATTGCGCTGGTCTTCCAGTGGAACATTTTTGGTAGACTCAAGAGGTTCATGTGTGTAAATAATAACTTCTAGATGCTTTACAAGAAAGCTAAAAAGATTAAATCCCAATTATTTTTTAAAATTATCATGAAGAGAATTCATAGGAATATAAAGGCAGAATGTAGAAACCCATCAAGATTGGCCTAAACGCATAATTAAGCACAATTTCATACCAAAAGCGGCAATCGTTCTTCTTACCATCTCAATTTACATGCCAATAAGTAAGAGATCAGGTTTCACTAACGATGATTTCCTTGAAACTGGGCTCATGCATACTTAACATTATGTCCTTCGTGACCTATGGGGATTCAAAGTTTCATACTACTAATTTAAGCTATTATGTTCTGAGTATTATTTCCCCAAAATGAATACTCCTTTCTCGGGTATTGGAAGATATCGTATTTAATTAAGTAGATAGTGGAAACTGACGATGGCGTTGTGGTTTTATGGTTTTTTTTGGGATAAATGAGTGCTAAAGAATGCCAATTATTTTCGGTCAGGATATATCACAATCTTGAGTACAGAGAGCTTTCACGGTAACCTTCGAATGGATACTGCATACATGCGTCCATGAATGAGCATTCTACCAACCAGAGCATAACTCGAGGTATAGGCGAGTTCGTAAATGCCATTAAAACGGGTAAGGAGTCATTACTCAAGTCACTATTGGACAGAATATAGTGAATGCATCTGATTCGATTGTTTAAAAGCCACCAGTAACTCTTTAAAATGAACCTAGCATGTCGTTGAGAGACTGTTGGTAGAGATGTTTCCTTACAATGAAATGAGACCAAGTGAAATACAGTTGAAAGGTAAAGCGGACTCATCTCATTATCGGGAATCTCTATTATTAGTCCTCAAATCATCTTAAGCAATCTATAATGACTAACTTTTGGTTTATAAGTAAACTTTCAAAGCTACCAGTAGATCATATACATGGGATATATTCATTATATTTCGTTTAAAGGGATAAAGTGACTAATAGTTGAATTTTCCCACAAGCATATGAATCGACCATAAATTTCCATTAAATTTCACATAACCTTGATTCCCAAAAGGCAGCATATAATCTCGGCACGTTAGTCCATTCGCTGCATTGCCACGAGTGTCCTTGGGTCAAGGAAAGTCAGGCCTTTTCCCAAATCACATTATTTGGTAAAATTGTCGATAAAGCAGATTTGTTTTTGCTATAGCAATCAACTACTTTACTTGTTTTTCATTTGTAAGTGGGAAATGTGACGTAGCACGATTCGTGTCCAGCTGGGGGTGTAAATAAGACTTGGGCGAAGTTAAAACTGCGGTCCACGCTGGATGATAATACATTTTTGGAAAGCAGAGCTATGTGATATTCAACTGAAATGTAAGATCTACTCATAGCAGTGTGGGGAAATTCAATTACCAGTCCCCTTATACCCTTAATCGATATATGATGAATATATCTTATATATAGAATGACTAAGATAAAGCATCATCATGGCAATGAATTTCACTTGACCTTGTCTCTCCCAAAAGGTTTTTCAAACCGAACAGAAGTCCAGTTTCAACCTAGACTGGGTCTCATCAACATCCTTGATGGAAGTCGAAGACTACGCGCATAATTCACGTGATGTTGGAGACCTGGATGAGGTCCAAACTGTTACTAACCCGGGATAAGAAAATCTTACTGGAGGCAAGGCTAAATGAAATTCAATGGAATTATGGGAAAAAGAAAACTGTCAGTCATAAATGAAGATATGAAGACCAAGATGTTGTGGCCTCT